CCCTCACTAAGGGCCAAGGACCAAGGACTGTCCAGCACCAAGGACCGTCCAGCAGAGCCAGCCTGGGGCATGACTGTGAGGAGCAAGAAATGGGGAGTCAGAACCTTCGCTACAGGGTGGGGCTGGCCACGCGTTTTTTTGTGTTTTTTTTTTTAACAGCACACTGTGGTAAACCATTCGGTTCATATTGTTTTTGCTAAAGTCAGTCCTGTGTGTGGTTTCGGTATACCGCTTGGGTAACTGTTGAAACTGCTGTGGTTTGAAAATAAGTTCTATTTTGCCTCTTCAAGCTTGGATTCCCGGCCCCTATTCACCAAGACTCCCTGCAGTGGCAGGCAGCACCCAGGGGTCTTTGACTTTGCATGTCCCTTTTCATGCTCCCGCTGCACCCCGGGGGCAGGGGCCCCACAGCGGATATCTAGGAATGGTGGCATCGCACTGTGTGTCGGCCGTCGCCCTGTGTAATTTTCCCGCAGATTGTTGGTTTTATGAAAATGATTTCTGCTGCCTTCTCCCAAATGGCCTCAGCTTGCTTTCGTTGCTGTGCGTCCTGAGCCTGGGAAGGCCCGAACCCCACGTGGCGACAGCGCGGGGAGTTGGCTTCAGAACCTGGAGGCAGATCCAGGTGACTTTGTCACGTTTGAGATACGCTGCACCTCAGAAAATCGGAAAAACGATCAAGGAGTTAGCAGAAGTGGTTACATAAAAGCAGGAACTAGACCCAGAGTGTTCGAGAAGCATAGCTGCTAAAAATAAACCGGTGTGTGCGAGTGGGAGCGTGACTGGGGCAGTGCCCGTGTCACGGGCACAAGGTCCCTGTGGGGCCAAAGCTGGACTGAGTCTGGTCCAGCACTGCCTCAACACCAGAGTGCACGCAAACGCAACCAAGAAAAAGCCGTTGTTCTCTGAAAGCAAGAGCAAGCAGTTACTGTGCCCTGGTTTCATATTGCTGCTGCCACGACTTCTAAATAACAACGGTTGCAGCGGCAGCCGGCCGGCACAGGCGCCCTCGGTGGGAACACGCCTTTCCTCTTGCCATGGTCTCTGCAGGTCGGAAACCTCAGCTGAAGCTGTAGTGGGCTGGATTCTCAGCCCTCCCGAAAAGCAGTTGTGTTTTTAAATCCCCCAAGCAGAGGGAAGTAAAGGTGAAAAACAGCTCAGAAGTGGCTGATGTGTTTGCCCCTCTGTTGGTGGGCAGAGCTCGCCTCCCCAGCTCTGCCCAGATATCCGCAGCTCCCTACAGGAGTACTCAGGCAGTGGAGCAGGAGGTTCCTGTGCAGCTGAGCAGAGCCCAGCCTGGTCTTGGTATTCCAAGGGCTTCACCGTTCGTTTCCCTGGACTTCGGCCCGTCCCCTGGAAACACTGTTCCCTCTGCTGGAGTTTGCAGATTGGTCCATATAGCACAGGCACACCCACCAGCATCGCTGTGTGCTATAGACAGGGAGGGCTGTGTGCCTTGACTCCCTCCTGGCTCCCTAGAGGGTCCCGTTTCTGGGCCCTGTGGAGGCTGTTCAGCGGCACCTGGCTCTCCAGGACCCGCTGGAGCCTGTCCCTGAGCTGAACCCTGAGCTGCGGCATCAGAACTCAGGCGGTTTTGGCTGGCACCTGCAGTGTGTCGGGCCCAGCTCTCGGGGGCTGAGCCTTGCACCACGGCAGCAGGCAGAGGATGGGGTGACCCGGGCAGAGGGCCTTCCAGGTGGAAGGAGTGGCCGTGTGCAGGCAAGGCAGGCACCAGGGACTGGCGGAGGTCGGCTTCCCTAGCGACCCACGGGCTGGGGGTGCAGGGCACCGCCCGCGCAGTGGCCACCTCACCCTGTGAGTGTGCTCTGGCTTCTGTAGCTGACTGTCAGCAGACTTCGATTGCCCCCATTCTGGAGGCTGCAGGTCCAAGATCCAAGCGCTGGTGGAGCCTCGTTCTCTGGGGCCTCTCCCCATGGCTTGCCATGTCTTCACTGGTTGTCTCTCTGCACATCTGCATCCTAATCTCTTCCAATGAGGACAATGGCCATTGGGTTAGGTGTCCCCCAAGTGACCTTGCTTTCATGTAATCACCCTGTAAAGATCTTGTCTCCAAATGCAGTCGTGTTCTAAGGTGCTGGGGGTTAGAGCATGTGAATGTGGACGTACAGTTCAGCAGCCTCCATGCCTCCTGGCCAGACAGAAGAGAAGCCTAGGGCGGGGGTTACAGAGGAGGTGCCACCAAGTCCTGTGGAAGGCCACGGCAGGGGGCTTGGAGGAGAGGCAGAGGCAAGGCTGGTGCTGGGGTCCGTGGTCAGCTCTGGGCAGGGGGACTTGGCGTGGACGGCAAGGCCCCAGCTCTGGAGCTGACAGAGAAGGGTGCACAAGCATGTGACGTGACAGCGGGGCTGTGTGACGGGGCTGCGGAGGTAGTGGACAGGGCCGCATCTCAGCCAGGTGTGGAGATGCCTTGCACAGTGGGAAGAGTGGGGCCAGTGGCACAGGGGACCCAGGCAGGACAGGCAGGGGCATCTCCCTGGAACAGTGGCAGCCCTCACAAGGTCAGAGGAGGAAGGACGTCGGTGCTGGAAGGCCACTCTGCTGGGCGGGCTTGGCTTGCAGGAACCCCCCCTGCTGCCCGGGAGCCCACCCTCCCCAGTGGACAGCTGGGGTTTCACAAACTGCTGGCAGGCCCGGCCCCGCCTCCGCCAGAACTGCCCACCCCTCCTTGGAGCCACGCGGGTCAGAGC